TTTGGCCATCGGTCCAGCTTGTTTAGGGATTTAGACATGTCATCTTTTCCTGGAATCCTTGTCTATTTTCCAAAACTGAACCTTGTCTCTGAAATACAGCACCTAATTCGGGAAACTACTAAGCTGAGTCAAAACGATGCTTCCATCCCTGCTGCTGCTGCTGTTGCTGCTGCTGTCACTGGTTTCTTTGAACATTTGCATCCTGTGGAGAGGGTTGTTGCTGCTGCTGTTGCTGTTAAATTAGTGAGGCTCATGACCAAATGAATGAAAAATCTGATTCTCTGCAGAAGGGGGACAGCACACTTTTCTCTGATCTTCCTCTTTCCCCTTCTCTTCCTACTTCTCTCTGATAAATGTTTTCTTAGAAGGATTAATGATATTCTCTCCCTCCCCACCCCCATCTCTCTCTCCCTCACTCTCTATCTTTGAGACAGGGTCCTGGAACTGGCTCTGTAGACCAGGCTGGCCTTGAACTCAGAGATTAGCCTGCCTCTGCCTCCCGAATGCTGGGAGTAAAGGTGTGCACCACCACCACCCAGCTGGACTAGTAATTCTAGTAAGTGCCTATGTATATTCCAGCAAAAGTTCACAAAACTGGGGAGAGAATGCAAAGCCTGAAACTTGAAGCTACACGGAGTAGAATATCAACTTCAATACCAGATTTCTAATAGAAAATGGTTCTTACAGTTACAGAGTCTTTACCATTGAAGGCAGCTTTTTAAAAATTGTGTGTATATGAGCTAGGCACATTGGCAGTGGCTTATACTTTTAATCCCAGCACTCAGAATGCAAAGGCAGGTGGATTTCTGTGAGTTTGAAGCCAGTTTAGTCTACATGGTAAGTTCCAGGCCAGACAAAGTTACACTGTGAGACCATCTCAAAAAAAAAAAAAAAAAGTGTGTGTGTAGTATATATTTGTGTTTTCTGTGTAAGTGTGTCTGTGAGTATGTTGGTATGCATAAGTATGTGAGAGTGCATGTAAAGGCCAGAGCTTGACCTTAGGTGTCTTTTGTATTCGTTCACTACATTAGTTTTCAAGGCAGGATATCTCACTGAAGAGGTAGCTCACTGAGTAGCTAGAATGGCTGGCCCACAATGCTGTGGATCTGCCTGTCTCCTGCCCGCAGCACTAGGGTTAGAGGTGCGTGTCACCATGTCCTTCTGGGGATCCAGACTCAGTTTCCCACGCTTGTGTGGCAGGCTCTTTAACAATGAAGCTCTTTAATATCTCCCCAGCTCTGAAGACAAATTTTTAAATACTCTATTTCATAAAATAAGTTCATAAATTACAAATAATAATAAAATAAAAATCACTTAGAAACTCACCACAGAGGATGACCACTGACTGTATTTGGAATTTTGTTTTTTAGGCTTTGGTTTCAAATTTTTTATTTATTGGTTGATGTTCGTGGTGGCAGTGGTTGCATGCAGGACCTGTCACTTGTTAGGTATGCACTCAGTGGTTGCATGCAGGACCTGGTGCATATTAGGTATGCACTCTATCACCCACTCGTATCCCCAGGACTGCAGGCTGTATTCTTTATGTCTATCTCTAGATACTGTTCCGATCATACATATATAGGAATATTGTAGTTATTTTTCTAAAAGTTGTATCTACAGAAAAATTCAATTTAAATGCATAGTGAATGGCCACCTCCCAGTTATTAATGGATGCCTTTTTTTTTTTTTTTTTTTTTTTTTGGTTTTTCGAGACAGGGTTTCTCTGTGTAGCTTTGCGCCTTTCCTGGAACTCACTTGGTAGCCCAGGCTGGCCTCGAACTCACAGAGATCCGCCTGGCTCTGCCTCCCGAGTGCTGGGATTAAAGGCGTGCGCCACCACCGCCCGGCTAATGGATGCCTTTTTAATTGTGCTAATATAATCAACATCTTAAGATGGTCCTCTTTCATCCTTGATGATCTGTATGTCCATCTGTCATTTATTCAAATAGCATTTGTGGAATAGTGTCTCTGCTTCAAGGACTGAGCAAGCTGCTATTATTTAATTTAAATATTGAACCTCAGCTGTAATGGCTTTACTAAATACTCTTCCTGAAGCCTGGCTTGAAAAGCTTGTGTTTCTTGGCTTTAAAAATTGTATGCCTAATTTCTAATGTACCAAATAATGTAAATTTCACTTTATTTCCATCATTTCCGCCCCCCAAGGAATGAGGGTTAGAAATGAACATCTTTGTTCATGGAAATTGCTGCTTGAAGGAAAACAATTAAGATCTTACACATGGGAAGCAAAGACGCATCTGACGAAAGTAAAGAGAAATTTGAATTATGATTTACTGCTTATGAAAATGACTTGGTTTATGAAATGGAGTTTGGCAATCTTGCTCAATGAATATAGTAATTTAAGCAAATTTTGCATTAAGAATGAATCATAATAAGAATTCTCTATTGTGACATTGTAAGAGTTTAATGGCCATTTGTTTTACAGCAAGTTTCTGAAAGAATTGGTCAAGTACCAGAAGCTCACTGTGCTGACAAATGGCTCACAAGGAATTGCTTTGAAAGAAAACACTACTTTTTGTTTTTGAAACAAATTTGTGTAAACACTAGACATATTCCAGTCTCCGTAAAATCACATTCTTTGACCAGAAACTCCAAAGGGACAGCTTTGTCCTTTAGATCGTTCTTTCTTCGAAACACCTTAAATTATTTTTTATCTGTTTGCAGTGTGTGTGCACACACACATCAAAAGAGCGTGCAGAAGTCACTTCGGGAACTCAAGTCGCAGGGCTTGATGGCAAGCACCTTTACCCACTAAGCCACTTCCAGTTTCCTTTCTAAGCTTTATCCCTGTGTCCTCCAGGGCAGCAACGAGTTAGTTCATTATTGCTGTTCTCTCTCCCTGTGTTTTTCTTAAGCAAACAATTGGTACCCTGTGGGTTGGCTCAGGCTTGTAGCTCCTCAATCTGGCCATAAAAAATATGAGCTTTTTCCTTCTCTGAGTCCCTTTTAATGATGTGAAATTGTCCAAATGTTTCTTATAGATTATCCTCAGAATTTTACTGAGGCTCTGCCAAAAAAATGGAAGACCTTTGTCTCAAACAATCACAGATCTGCATTGATTTACAAATGTAACTGCTACTATAATTGTAATGGCCTAGTTTCAAGTAATGTTATTTATAATACAAATCGCATACAATCAATGAGAATACAAACTAATGTTGTTCATTTTCAGAAATGAGTAAGATGGCTGCCAATTTTTCCAATTGCAAAGCATGTATCTTCATTTGATTAAACAGTTCTAGAGTTACATTTGCAGATTAAAGAGAACCAATGGCCTGGGGAAGGGTCCTCATTCGTTTCTGAGCTTGCCATTCTTCTGACTCGGCTGCTTAACTCATTTTACATGGAATGAACATGGACCATCTCTAGGGCCGGGTCCAAGTCACACGGGATTGGATGTTGATACAATTTCTTAGGCTCTTTTAAAGAAAAGGCTAAAAGATATTTCACTTTTATAAGGCTGATGAAAAGAAATAACCAGAGAAACTGGGCATTGGGGCTACTCACTAGCCCAGATGTAGACGACCATGATGGCGTTTGGTGGTAAATCTACCTCTAGACTTATAGATACATACATAGCAAAACTGAGACAAGGAAATTGGATTAAGCTGCCCATCAGAATGTGCTGGACTTGTGTATGGCTCATGGAATTAATTGTGTTACTCGGAGCAAGCGCCATGCATGGTGTGGAAAACTATCCCTCTAGATGCACTAGTAAAAGACCTTTTCTTAGTACTCAGCAGAGAATTCTGTGGTCTCTGACTACTTGAATGATCGTTCTTAGGGTTATCAAAGACAACATGCAAAATAAAATTTTAGAAGAGTTAATTTGCTTTTCGCCTATAAGCCTGGATGAAGATTTTTCTTATACTCAATTGCTCACATTTATAAATAATTAAGTAATAATAGAAGACAGTATATAAAACAGGCAAATTAATGGCAGACCGAAACCATGAGATGGGAGAAATCCTGAGGCCCTGGAGAATGCTCCTCAAAGAGGAGAAAGGTGCACACAGTTTCAGCTGCAGATACCAGATGAGACTGTTCCTAGGAGAGTCAATAAAAGACTTTCACCTTCAGAGCAGGTTCCAGGGAAGGAAGACTCAGAGAGGCTCACTGGGAGCACCAGGTGAAGGCCACAGCATTCAGCGAGGTCATCAACATCAAACCAAAAGCGTCAGTCTCTAGACTGCCTAGTCTCACCCGGAGCTTATTAGGTTTGCAAATTTATCAGGCTCCACCTTGGCCTTCCACCTGAGGGCTGTTCCCAGAAGCCTACACTAGAGCTCACCAAGAACTCCAGCTCTCAAATTACACTAAACCAGAGATTTCCTGAAAGAATGTGAACGGATGTTTCTGGAAGATTAAGACCGCAACTGTAGATTAGAGATATTGCATAGAGAAGAAGTCGGAAGCTGGGAAGTCTGTTTAAAATAGTATCTTAATCGGCATGGCATATATAAATTATAACATTTGCTGCTGCATTTTAAAGCTGCTCTTGGTTAGGTATTTGACATCTTCCTTTTTATGCTGCAGCCTATTAAAGTGTACCAATATACTTTAGTGAGCCTACCTTGAATTACTTAATAATCAACTTAATGCTTTCATTTTATTATAGTGAAAGCTAATTTAATGAATCCTAGCTAGTAACTAGTCAGAGAAAATCCCATTTTACAATAATATGAAATCCAATACAAATCCAGCCATATGTAGACACTCATCAGTTATAGGGAGACTCCTTTCATATTAGGGGATTTGGGTGTTGGTTGGAAGTTGTAAATGAGAATGTTCTTTCTTAGACATAGTTTCAAGCAAATCCACTAATTTGCACTAGAGTTAGTTAACAGAAAAGAAGAGATCGAGGTGAAGGAAAAGAGTGGCTGTTGTCCAGAGTGAGTGACAGTGAGAGGACAAATTGATGAGGAGAAAAGGAGAGACCAAAGGAAGAAATATGCGGCTGGGAAGGATTAAAAAAAACGCACCTCAAAAGTCAGTCAGCGAATGATCAGGGGTGAGCCAGAGGCTGCTACTGGGCTGCCGGGGCTGGGTAATGAGTGTCACCCAGCAGGTCCTGCTACGGTCTGCTCTGCGCCTCTGGGCACAAGCTGACTGTAATGCCACTGGACGGCTGCCCTGTAAGTGTTTTCTTAAGTTTGAAATCTTGGCACTTTTTACACGCCCGTCCATAGGAAACCTGCAGAGTGAGAAACACACAGCAAATGTACTTACGGAACCCCGTGTGTGAAGCTATCGTGTTTACATAAGTCTTACACAATTTGAGAATAACGCAATTTGACACGAGAGACAGGTTGATGAAATGTCTTGAGTCTTTTTTTTCTTTTTGGCATTCTAGTTGAGTGGGTAGAACAGAACCATGGGAAAGCTGAGAGCTGGCTCCGGTTCCTGGCTCTGTGGCTGACATCCTGTGATTCAGGGCAAGAGACATGGCTTCAGCCCCGAATTATTACAGAACAGACTGGGAGGAGAGTCGTGCGAGGGTTTGAACAGTCTCCAGTCTTCTGGGGTTTCAGAAGATTGGGAAGGTTATCCAACAGACAGCAGCCAAGCCACACGCATCCCAGCCAGTCTCCTCGGGTCAGGTTGTAGAAAGAGAGCTTTTGAAGCCCAAACCTTAACCGGTGTTAGTGTTGGAGCCATGCTGGGCAGCTGGACACGGAAGCAGGACAGAGGCCTGGGAGAGTGTGATAAGAAAGAGTGGCGCTTGGTTTGGAAATCCATCAGACTGTGGAATGAGTGCCTGAATGCATTAGACCAGCTTCAGGGGCCTGGAGCCAGAAAAAAGGTTCAGAATTAGACGACATGCGTGGGTTCTATCATCAGCAGAGGTAGTAGGGTAAACCCTGGCAGAGGGTCAGGGTCATGACTGCACAGTACAGGATGGCGGTCATCACTAACAGGTTCCCAGTACTCCCTGGACGCCTCCTCCACAGCCAGCGCCATCACTGTCTTACAGAACGTGCATGGACGCTGCCACTGGACTCTTTTGTTACCGATGAGGATACCCCCAGGTCACGGCTCAAAGACTGAGCATGCAGGATCTCTATGGACGTTTTGCAGGAGTGGAATGGAGCAGAAAGTGGGGGGAAGTCTTGGCACGCATGAGATCAGAAACGTCGTTGTTGGCACATGGTTAACAGTCGCAATCAGAATGATTTCTCCATGCATCCTGTCGGGCCTCACAGAGGGTAGCAGGCCAGAGGAGTCTGCCATTCACTTCCCTCCTGGAGAAATGTAGTTGCATGCTCTGTTTTGCTGTTCCTGGCTTGCTCTAGAGCCAGGGTTCTTCTCCAGGCTCTGGAGGTACAGAGAACTGGCTTTGGTGCCTGAACAGGAGGTCAGCTTGGTAACATTACAGAACCACAGACTTAAATAAAATCTGTTTTCTTAACAGAAAAAAAAAAAAGAGGAAAGTCTGTAATTACTAATTTATTTGAACCAAGTAGTCTTCCAAACTGGGTAAAATAAATCAACAAATGTGGGGGGAAGTTGATGTTTACTGCATAATTTAGAGACCAATGTAATCTCTCTCTTTCTTGCTCTCTTGCTGTCCCTCTGGAAAACAAGGATTCAAAGAGGTATTTGTACACACTTGCTCATAGGGGCATGATTTCCAAGAGTCAAAAAGAGAAGCCACTCAAGTACCTGCAGGTAAACAGCAGATAAACAAAATGTCATGGGTACACACAGTGGGATGTTTACGATTACCTTCAGGTAAACAGTGGATAAACAAAGAGTCTTAGGAACACATAGTGGGATGTTCAGCTTTTAAAGGAACATACACCACAACACAGGTGACCCTTGAAGGCAAGTTGAGTTCAATAAATCAATCATGAAAGGATAAATATCAGCCATATCCTTCCACTTACAGACTAGTCAAAGTCAAAGAGACAGGAAGTAAAAGTGTATCCTAGGAAAAAGAGGCGGCAGGAAGTCAGCATTTAGCAACTGGGGGAGATGAAAACATTCTAGAGGTTTGGATACAGGTGATGGTGATAATGTGTAATAGTTAAGAGGATATATGTTATTTTGCTCATTATTGCAATAAAAACACCATACAAAAGTGATTTAAGGAAAGGCTTGCTTGGGTTCACAGTTTGAAGACATCCTGGCAGGGGAGGCATGCAGGCAGATGTATATAGTTGCTTGCTCATACCTGCTTGGGCTAGGGGGAACAGTGATAAATGTCAGTGCTCAGCAAGCAGTTTCTTTTCTACTTTTTACTCAGCCTAGAACTCCACCCCATCTACTTGCAGTGTGGGTTTACCCTCCTTGGTTAAGACACTCTGGAAACACAGTCGTATACATGCCCATAACTGCGTCTCCTAGGTGGTTCCAAACCCCATCAACTTGACAACCAAGGCTTACCAGCAGAGATGGTGAATTGTATGCTGTTTATTTTACCACTGTGCTATTTTGCTTTGTTTTTGTATGTGGGAAAAAATTTTGTTTTCCCTGAAGATTTTTTTTTTTTGGTTTTTTGAGACAGGGTTTCTCTGTGTAGCTTTGCGCCTTTTCTGGAACTCACTTGGTAGCCCAGGCTGGCCTCGAACTCACAGAGATCCGCCTGGCTCTGCCTCCCGAGTGCTGGGATTAAAGGTGGGCGCCACCACCGCCCGGCTTCCCTGAAGATTTGAAGACTGTTCATGTCATCGCTTTATTCTATAAAGCAACTATTCTTCATATGCTTTGTAACAGGTTTTCATGGGAATGATGCTTTCAGCATATAAAATAAGCTAAAGTTCAAACACACACTTGCTCCGTTACGTAGTTTCACATTTCCGATGTATCAGTCTACTTGATAAAGGAGAAAAGATCAATAGAGTATTTACTTACTTCAGAAGACTGATGGTATGAGGGTCTAAGTGTTTACACGATATCTTGCTGGTGCTAGTTGCTTGCTCTAATTGTGATTTGGACAAAGACACTTAAGATGTCTGTTAAAAAAACAAGAATGGTGGATCCTGGTGTTTCCGGCAGAAAATTAGCAGTTAGGAGTCCAAGAATGAAAGCTGGAATCTAAGCTCCCAATCTTAAAACTACGTTCTGCCGACAGAGTTATTTGTTATGATATACTGCCTTGACCTATCAATCTATAGACACGAGTGATTCATTTTCATATAGAAAAGCAATAAAAACTATTGAACCAGTTTTTCTATTTATCTTAAAAACTGGGTAATTTTTGTCTGGGCTTACTGTGAGAATCATTGTGAATATTAATAAGTTAACATTTTTACTTTGGATGGAATACAGTACTTTTGGAAATTTTTCCTTTTTTAATTAAAATTTATATATGTTTATGAGTGTTTTGTCTGCATGTATATGTATGTCTGTGTGTCATGTATGTGTGCCTGGTACCTGTGGAGGCCAGAAAGTGGCATCTGATTCCCTGGAGCTGGGGTTATAGATAGCTGTTATGTGGGTGCTGGGAATCAAATTTGGGTCCTCTGGAAGAGCAATATTCTTAACCTTTGAGCCATCTCTCCAGTCCCTGGAAATTTTCTAATGATTAATAGTACTTTGAGAAATTTCTTATTAAACAAATGTTTAAGTTTAGATTTTCACAATGTGATATTATAAATTAAGACTCAATCAACTGTTTTCACAGAAGTTTGGAACTTATGATGTATCTGAAAGTCAAATCTGATACTAAGCCAACACTACTGTTGTCAGCTCTGTCTGTTCCTAGAAGAGGAGGTTGTTCCTCTGTCTTAAACATCATCAACAAGACTGACAGCAAAGTACTAACTCCAGGATTGTTGTCCTGGTTGTTGATGTGAGAGATAGGAAGGACTTTGCCTGATTGTCAGATGTCAAACCACGTGTTGTGGAATAATTTTTTTATACACTATGAAGATGCGTCACTCAAATTGGTTTAATAAAAAGCTGAACTGCCAATAGCTAGGCAGGATTTCATACGTAGGTGGATTTTTCTGTCCCGTCTGCCAACTCCCAAATAACCACATGGAGACTTCATATTAGTTATGAAAGCTCGGCCCATAGCTTAGGCTTATTTCTAACTAGCTCTTATCACTTAAATTAACCCATTTCTTTTCATCTACTTTCTGCCTTGTGGCTTTATTACCTCATCTAAATATGGCCCATCCTGCTTCTTCTCCATCTAACTGGTGACTCCCCTTCTTCCTACTGTCTTCTGTGCCTGGAAATCCTGCCTAGCTATTGGCCATTCAGCTTTTTATTAAACCAATCTGAGTGACACATCTTCACAGTATACAAAAAGATTATTCCCCAACAACCATGTTTTGTTATAGGCAAATAAACTAATATAATGGCCTTATAAAGAAAGGCCCAACTGGCCAGATCAGTGGAGTTCAAGGCAAGACTTGAGAAAAGCATCATCATTGTCAGAATCTTATTATTTTTTTTTTAAAATCACAAGATTTGGGCAAAACAGAAGGTTAGATAAAATGAGCAAGAATGCTTTAGGGATAAATAAGAAACAAAGAATGATTTCAAACAGTAGAAGTGACCTTTCAGCCCTCTTTCATCTTTTACAGGACCCCCACCTCTACCTCATTAGATTGCTCAGGGTGGTCGTCTGTTGCTCAGGTTCATCTGTGTCTGGCTTACGCTTCCATACAGACATTGGTATTTGTCTCTGCATTGGTCCACAGCTAGCCAAGTGTACCAGGCTTTTTTTTTTTTTTTTTTTTTTTTTTGCCAGGGGAGTGTTGGGGAGAGGGGGGCAACCAACTTCCAAATCATGACAGAGACATATTATTAGTTTTGAATGTTCAGCCTATCTTAGCACATTTCTGGCTAACTCTTAAATTAATCTATTTCTCTTTAACTACCTTTTGCCTCAGGGCTTATTCCCTTTCTTATTTCTGTATATCTTACTTTCCCTGTTTCTGGTGTCTGTCTGTCTGGCATCTGCCTGGCTTTTTGCCCCAGGCATCTCTGTTATTCTCTTCTCCTTCTTCTCTCATTCCTCCCTTCTTTTTGAGCCTAGATTTCTCCTCCTGTTTATTCTCTCTGCCCACCAGCCCCGCCTATCCTTTCTCTGCCTAGCTATTGGCTGTCCAGTTCTTTATTACACCAATTGGGTGCCTTAG